AAATTACCGACGTGGCCACCAAGAAGTTCGAGATCGAAGAACTAAAGGTGTTCGATCAATTGCCCAAGGACGAGATCAACACGAAGATCGAAGAATCGTTCGTGGCCGCCGCCGAGCCTGGCAAAGTGCCAGAAACGCGTGCTGCCTGGCAGCAAATGTCTGGCAAGTGGAAGCAGCAGCTTGCGGAGAAATCGTTCGGAGGCTGGCCGCAAGACCCCGATGACGTCGAACTGGTCGAAAACGGCAGCCTTGAAACCGACGGTTGGCACATCGATAGCTTTACCGTGACCACCCAAGCAGGAATCGAGTTGCCACTGACCCGAATTCGGAAGAAGCAATCGACGATTCCCAACGCTCAAGCGAAATTGGTCCTCATCGATCAGGCCCAGTGGGAAGCGATGGGCAAAGAGATCGCTTCCTCAGAAAAGAAATTATCGTTTGTCGATCTCGATAAGTATGGCACCGCCTACGTGCTCGCCGTTCGTGGCATTGGCCCGACACAGTGGACCCAGGAAACCAAACCAGAGATCCACTTGCGACGCCGCTACCTGCTGCTCGGTCAATCACTCGACGCTATGCGTGTCTGGGATATTGCTCGAACTGCGAAAGCAATTGCCGAGAAAGACTCGATCGATCAGATCGATGTGGAAGCCAGCGGCAACTTCGCTGCGCTCGCGCTCTATGCCGCTTTGTTCGAGCCTGCGGTCGGTGATCTGCTACTGCACGATCCACCAGGTGACCATCGCGAAGGTCCTTACTTCATGAACGTGCGCCGCTTCATGAACCTGCCGGAAGCTGCCGCAATGGCCGCGAACGACTTGGATGCTCCACGCGTCATCAAGACCGACAACGATGCGTTGATGCAGTACGCCAATCAGGTTCGTGAAACGATCAACGTCCCGGTAGGACTACCGATGGAATCGTCCCCAGTCCGGCTGAAGCGATAGCCTCTTCGGATCACGCTGATCTGTTTTTTTCCGGGTCGTACCTAACACAGAATCGGTACCACCCAAGCGGCCATGAAATCTTTACGACTCCCTTCATTTTGAGGGGCTCTCTCGTCACCGATTTGGCCTGAACACCTAACGAAAACACGTCTTTTCGCACCTCTTTTCCCTAGACAAGAAGCAACGCCTGGGGGCCTATTCTGGTGCCAACTCTGCCGCGTTGATTGCGTGGCGGACAAGCAGTGGATGCTACCGCTGCTCAGCATTGAGGCAGCTTATTGTTCATCGATCGAATAATCGTCGACTCCACGCCTTCGGCATAGCAGTTGCCATATCTTGTGGGCACCTCACAGCGCGAGGATAAGCCTTCCGTGCTTGTCCCCCAACGAGGTGCGCGGCCGAGAAGTGTCAAGGAAAAAGGCGATGATCGTACGTCGAAATTTAAGCTGGCGGCAGATTCTGTTTTATACCTGGAAGAGCCTGCTCTACTTTCTTGTTTTATCGGTCGCCGTCTACTTACTGCACTACGAGTTCGACCTTCGCGATCTTTCGGTTCCATTCAACGTGGTGGCCATCCTCAGCACAGCGTTGGCGATCTTTTTAGGCTTCAAGAACAACAGTGCCTACGATCGCTGGTGGGAGGCCCGCAAGATTTGGGGCCTGCTGGTGAACTACAGCCGTGCTTGGGGCCGCGAAGTGCTGACGCTTAGTTTCGACGAGCATGGCGTTCCCAGCGAAGAGTTGTCTCAATGGCAACGACGGTTGGTCTATCGGCACATTGCCTTCGTGCACGCGTTGCGTGTCTTCCTACGGCATCGGCACGACTACAACGAGATCGAAGGCGAGATCATCGAAACCACGAACGACTACAACGACATTCGCCCGTTTCTTTCTTCTGAAGAAGCAGACGAGGTGCTCCAGAAGAAGAATCCCCCCAACTATTTGCTGATGATTCAGGGTCGCGAATTACGTGAGGCGCGAGAGCGAGGGTGGCTGTCTGACTACCGCTTCGTGCAGCTTTCCGAAACGCTCACGGAATTCAACAACCATCAAGGGAAGAGCGAGCGAATTAAAAACACGCCATTCCCACGCCCCTACAGTTTCTTCTCGCGCATCTTCGTGTATCTGCACGGAACGTTGGTGCCGTTTGCGTTTGTCGAAGAACTGGGGATGCTCAACATTCCGTTGGCCATGGTGATCAACTTCGTCTTCCTCAGCCTCGATCAGATCGGCGAACGAACCGAAGATCCTTTCGAGAATCGACTCGACGACACGCCACTGACATCGATCAGTGTGACCATCGAGACGAACCTGAAAGAGATGCTGGACGAGCAGCATTTGCCCGAGAAGCCAAAGGCACTCGGCGGAGTCGTCTTTTAATGCCAAAAGCTGTCATGGCTTATACGGACCGCTGCTGGCCATCTTCCATGTACTGCACTTTGTAGAGGTCTTTGCGGCGGTCGTTCCAGTTTTGGACCGAACCTTCCAGCCGATGTCGACGGAGAAGTTCCAAGTCGACGTCATGAATAACGATCGTTTCGACGTTCGGATTGCACTCGGCAGCGATGCCATCTCGCGCAAACTCGGCATCGCATGGGGTGAAGACGCCAGACTGGGCGTAATGGATGTCGGCATTTTCAACAAAGGGCAAGTTGCCGGTACAGCCAGAGATGGCAACGTAGATCTGATTTTCTACGCAGCGAGCCTGGGCACACGTTTTCACACGAAGATACCCATGCCG